GCGAGGAACCGTATTAAGAACCGCTGCTTTAGAACATTGATTTTGGATTCGCGAGGAACAGTATTAAGAACCGTATCTCATTGAACTTTCAGCTTCGTAACTGCAGATATTGTTTATGCTCAAACAGCAACATTACACTCTAACTAACGTTAAAAAAGTGAAATCGCAATGAACCACCCCTTTAAGAGACTTATGTTTTAGACACTATATTGCCTGATTTTGCTTTATTTTGCCCAAAAAAAATCCAAACACAATCACAGTGCTGTTTTGCGTCTCTGAGCAACATGACGACGTTTCGTTTCTGAATGAATCACCCGTTTAAATGATTCGGTTCAATCGCATTGACTCACTTCTTAACAGTGACTTGCCATCTGCTGGCGGCTTTAATTTGACATTTAAAGTATCTTTTTGTTTTTAAAATAATTTTAAATATCAGTATTCAATGTTTTATGTTTAAAATAACAAAATATTATTTATGCATTTGTAACTGCAGGTTAAATGCATTCATGTCCCTCTGTGTGGGAAATTCATCCCATGCAGCTTCTGTGTTTCCTCTGCATTGCAAAGATGAATTTTGATACTGATATCATTTGTTTGGTAACAGCCCAAATGTCTTTTATTCTAATTGACTGATTAAATGTAAGAATTTGACTCAAAGGATGATGCACACTTTTAGAAAAAAAGGCTTTATTAAGGTAAAAATATGCCCATAAAATGTAAAAATCAATTTAAACTTATTGGAACAGATTAATTTCTATCACTCTCACAAAAGCCACAAAGCCTTCCAAGAAGACAGTAAAGGCTTATGTCATGCTTGAGCTTTAGTTAGGCTGAAACTTGAAAGTTAAGTTGCACGACATAAATGCAATGTTTAGGTATTATTATTATTTTTATTACTATTATTTTGATTTATGCCTTAGTTTCTCGTTTATTGAAATGTTAACCTAATGCTGCGGTCCAGACAACGCGGATGTAATAACTATAATACGCATCCAAAATAAAAGTTTGTTTACATAATATATATATATATATATAATGTATTTATTTATGTGTATATATATATATATATATATATATGTGTGAAATATTTTTATATATTATATACTTTATTTGTTATATTTCAACATTTACATTTTCAACATTTTTATATGTATTAATATTTTTTTTTCCTGACCAGCTGTAACCATCAAAAATGTTGAGCACTAAGATACTGCTGCTTACTTGGTCTGTAAAAAACATTAGGCATCTAACCTTTTATTAACTCTGTGAGCGGGTGGTTGTTGTGCTTTTATAATGTTAATGACTTTATTAAATTTTAAATTTTTTTTTTTTATAAATATATATATATATATATATATATAGCCTATTGCTATTTGTGCAGCAGGGTTTGCATCACATGTAAGTGTTATTAGTGTTTAAAAACGAATGCAATGCATGTTTTTGTTTTGTTTTTCCAGAAAAGCACTAAGGATTCATGTAGTGCTGAACCAGTGCGTTTTTTTTCTTTTTCCCAAGTGTAATGAGTTTCAGTAGGAAGCTGAAAGCTCAATAACAAGGTCGGTTAACTGCGGTGTTTAAACTCATTCACCGTGGCCAGTGGTGCTGATGGTGGAGGGGGTTGTGTTGTTGCCGGGCAACCTTCAGCATTGGCATGTACCCTGAGGTCGTTGCCCATCAGATTTGAACAGAGGTTTTGCCCACTGGCACCTGCCATCAGTTAAGTGTCACGGCATTGAGCAAATGGTCATTAACAGGAAATCACTAGAATAACCATAAACCATCAGTTCAAGCATGCTTCAGCATTTGTGTAATTCAGACTTATTAGTGCTTATATTATTGTTTGTGGGTTAGTGATATAAACAAACCCTTAAACCAAAGTATTAAACTTCTGTGCACACTTCGGCTTTTTTATCAGTTTGAGATTTTAGTCAGAAAGCAACCACCCAGAACCACCTAGCAAATGCAACATGTTGCAGTCTGAACACCTCAGCAGTGTCGACACTGCTTTCGGATTTATGGCTATATATTGTTTTGGATTTTGAAATATGTATTTTCAATTTTTATAAAAATAAAAGCAGAGCTGAATTCCACAAACAGGATCCTAACCAGCAGAACCACACGTCTGTTGAACGACAACATTCATCTTACAGATGTTTTCTTCCCAGATCGTTTTTCACATTGTAATTAGAGCGTATTATTTCCATTTCGTTCCTTCTGCCGGTGAAACTTTGATCACATCTGATGTTACTCATTGCCCCGGGTCAAAAAGAAAATGTGGAATGAAATTCCTGACCGCTTCAGATTTGAAATGAAAATCAAATTTTCCTAATATCATTCCTGAATATCATTTCAACATCACGCCTCTCACATTATTATATACAGGACAATTTCTGCAATTTTAAGCTTCTCCTCCCTTTATTGTTACCCATGCTGGAAACCAGCATTCACTAGAGGAGTGGAATGTGTATAATTAGTGGTGTTTGCCTAGGCAAGCGTCAGTGTTATTATTATTACTCATACTCTCAGTTAGTGATTTGTTTGGATTACTTAAACTAGGTATTAAACTTCATTGTGTGTGTCACCTTGCAGTGTTTGAGCTGCAGACATGAAAAATTCCTCAAATCATTGTTGAGGAAAGGTGTGCTGTTAATTATCAGATGCGTCATTTCCACCTGAAGGACGTTAAAACGGGTGTAAAACATCCCACAAACGCACACCGAATGAGAGACCCGAGCGATCAGAAGATCGTAGACGCTTAGTAAGACTAGGGCTGCTCAAGTATGGCACAAATCATAATCATGTTTATTTGGGTCAATACTGAAATCACGATTATTTATCACAATTACTCATTGACGTACTGTTTGTTTTTTTTATTTTGTAAAAAAGTGATTAAACAATAAATAAAAATTAATTGAATAAACAATTTTTGTATTATCTTGATTATCTAGTGTTAATCGTTTTTAGAAGCATTAGAATCTCAATGAATGCTCAATAAAATCTGATTAATAGTCCAGGCCTAAGGTAGACAGTACCTTGAAATCCCTTCAACCACATTGAAATTACCTAGCAACCATCAAGAACTCCCTAGCAGCAGCTCAGGAATGCCCTGGCAACCACATTGAAACAATCTAGCAACCCCCCAGAACAACCTAGCAACCAATAGCAATGCTCTGGCAACCACATAGAAACGCCTAAGCAACTACATTAAACAAACTATAGCATATAGAAACAACCTAGCAACCCCCCAGGACCTCCACTGGGAAGGAAATATAGAGACCGGACCTCTTGGAACTTTAATTGAATACCCGTGCGCTACCACATATCAATACCCTGGGGAAAAAAACAGAAGTAGTGTTAATTTTGTCAGCCATTTTTAATTTAGTCTTAGTCTTAATCTTGGTCCTGGTGTCAAATGTACTTTTTAGTTATTATCATATTTTGTCAACCTTGTCCTGTTTTTGTTTAGTCAAGTTTTAGTCGACTAAATGTCTGAGCATTTTCATCTAGTTTTAGTCTTTTTTTATAATTATAATAAATTATAATCTAAAAGATTATTGTAATTTGAAAAATTTATTTTGACATTTCTGGTATTGCATTTTCACCAATAAGCAAAAATCAATAGAATGTGGACTCATACACATGGTTTATTTTACCTCATCTAGTGTACTGATTTATTATAGGCTATTTAATATATAAATTAATATCAAAGACTTAGATATGGACTCTCTGTCTACATTATGAAAACTGGCAAAAACAAACAAAAAATATTTTAACAGTAAAATTCGTACTAGTAATTCCAATAATTCCAAAATTCAATAATGTTTCTCTATTAAAACAACAGCGATTGAGTAAGTGCATTTATTCAGCAACCACAATCGCAAACAATATAGTCGAGATCTCATGACAGAACACAGACTGGCTGAATGACACTTTCATTTAAGCTGAACATCTCACATGGAGATCGCTAAACTCCAGCTTACTTGTTTGTCTGTGTTTTCAGATCATCGTCGGCGCTTCCGCATTGAAGAGTGAGAGTGTGTGGTTGCCAGATTGCAAAACAATAAGCAAAACACAGGGTGGAAAATGTATCCTTTTAACAGAGAAGCTCTGATTTGTGGATTTGAACTCTTGATATCTGGCAACCGCACACATGAAAGCTCGTGTAGTAGAGGCGTGGACAGCAGTCTGCAATAATGTTTTGTCTCCTTTTTTTTGACGAAAATAAAAATAAATTTTGGTATAGTTTTTTTTTTTTTTTTATACATTTTAGTCTCGTCTTTTATCATTAATGATATTGCATGTTGATATAGTCACGGTTATCGTTTATTGTACTTATTGTTGTCTCATCTCGACTTGGTCATGGGAAAAAAGCTTGTCAACAAACATTTTTCATCAAACTTTTCGTTAACAATATTAACACTACCCAGAACACACCCCAGCAACCACATAGCAGCCATTCACATTTTCTTTTGAATATGTAAACATCTAGTTTACCATTAATCTTTTACAATGATTGCTGTACCCACAGTATTTTATGATGTTTTGCTGGATCATACCGGTCATGAATATGGATTGGGAGTTGGGATCCATCCCTCGTCATGAATGTACATGCATTCACTCTTGCCATTTGTTTATGAGCACAAACGCATAAGCATTAGGAGAAAAAGAGCCGCGGGAAGGACTACACTCCACAACACAAGTACATATTCAAATGTGTCTGCTGCTGTTTGTCAGAGCACAGATCTAAGGCTTGTTTATTATTATGGGCTTGATCTGCTCCCAGTCTGTTTGTTTGGCACAGTTACAGCAGTCGAACGAGTCGTAAATCTTCAATATGACACTTATCACGAGAGAATCCGGCAGATGTGGCAGCCCTTTGACAAACGAGCTCAAAGATGTGCTCTAAAGTCCTCTGTTTTTCCTTCTTCACCAGCTCAGCCGTCAGCATCGTTTCAGCAGATTTGATCGTGAATTTACACGTCTTTTATGCATTAACTATGTCGCAGTCTGACGGAGGAATCGGCATGAGTTTGAAGAAAACAAGACATTGTTTCTTAGATTTCTAAGTGTTTCTTAGTAATCTTTATGACACTAAAATGGCATGTTTTAAGTATCTAGATTATCTTTAAAAGGGTCACTCATCATTTTCAACTAATCTGACCAGTACGAGCAGTTTATTATAAAGCAGTCTGTCAGTTTTAGGTAAATTTATCTCCACTTGGTTGAGACCTACAACAATCTCTCTATTATTCTCCAGCATTTTATTTATTTTTCCCTGAAATGCACTTATGATGTATGGTATTGTGAGGTAGTTGGCGATATCTAAGCCTGTTAGCTTTCATAAATGGTCTGTGGAGAGAGAGAGACCGTCTAATGGCGCTTCTCCACTGCATGGTACGGCACGGTACGGCTCGGTACAGTTCACTTTTGGGGGGTTTTCCACTGGGTACAGTACCTGGTACCTGGTACTTTTTTTAGTACCACCTCGGTTTAACAACCAAAAAGTGGCTGTTCCCCCTGTTGAGGAAGTACAGACGTTCCTCTCGTTGATAGCAGAGGAGCGGATCCAGCGAGAGCTTGATGGGGCGACGCGGAATGAAAAAGTTTTTTAGGAGTCGCGGCAATAGAGGCGGCGCAACTATAACGACATGTGAATAACCCTGCCCACTCTAAAGCGATACTAAAAAACTGCAGTGGAAACGCAAACCGAGCCGTGCCGTACCGTACTGAGCTGTGCCGAGCCGAGTCGTACCACGCAGTGGAAAAGCGCTATAATTTTCCATGATTCGTCTCCTTTAGCATGAGGCCACTGCTGAAGTGTCTGCAAGGTTTTGTTCTTTCTTGGTGTTTGACTCATGAATAAATGATGATTTGTCTTCCTGGAATGGCTGGTCAGTCCCTGTTTAACTTCTCAAATCTCTTCTCTTTGTTCCACTAACAGCGCCGGTCCCAAAGGAGACAACATCTATGAATGGAGGTCAACTATTTTAGGACCACCGGGCTCTGTGTATGAAGGAGGGGTATTTTTCCTTGACATTGCATTTACACCTGACTACCCATTTAAACCACCCAAGGTAAGAGCAAAGAAATATCCATGGCATATGAAAATGCATTGAATTTAGGGAATGACTGATATGGGTTTTCTAGGATATCTAAAGAGCATTTTGAATTTTGTGTAAGTGTTGTGCAAATCTGTGCATCTTATCTGCAATGAATAAATTGTATTTTATACATGGCATCATACAGCCAAATAAAAAAAAAAAAATCTGTCTGCAACTAATGCATCTGCATCTCCTTCTGCAAGTTACAGTTATTCCAGTAGGTGGCGACAAGTGACTGTCTCAGATGAGTGAGTCACTGACTCGTTTACTGAATCGATTCCTTCAGAACACTGATTCAACTTTATGAGTGAGTCAGTGAATCATTCATTCGATGTGTTCAAACAAATCGACACTTTGACTTAGTTTGGATCTATTTTAGTGGCAATTCAATAATCTATTTAATATGTAGTTGCTTAATAATAACTGGTTCATTGCATTATTGTTTAACAGTTTAAATTGTGCTGTTTAACTTTGATTAACTGTACGCTGAGAACATCAGTACTCTTGTTTGAGAGATTATATTACATATTATAGAAATTTTATAGTAAATATTATGTAATATATTTAAATTAAAAAATTATATTTATAATGTAATGGGTGGCAGTTAAACTGTGATGAATCTCAAGGCAAGGAATGTCAAGGTCCATTAAAGGTTTGCCCTGAAAGCCTCGGGCTCTTGCACAGATGTCTCGCACACACCGAACATGCTGAGGCTATTTATTTTTAGTTCAGTTCCTAGTTCATACAGTGACAAGTTTCCTGTGTATATGATGCTTTGGTTTGGCATAACCTCAGATATTAACTACAGAAATTGATTCAGGTGGGGCATTCATGGGTGTTGTTCGTTTGATTAAAAGGATTTGTTCAAACAGTGGAACATAAAATTTGCAATTTGCTCGGCACAGTGACCCATTTATGCAGGCCGGTTCATTTTAAGTTGTGAAGGATTTCGTATATCCATCATTTGATGAATTATGCATCTGTTTTCAATTAATTTCTGTTTATCACTATTTATAGCACAAAATTAATTGCATTTCTTTAGATGATTAAAAGGTGAAGTGTACGATTTCTTTACAGAAAATGAATATTGTTTATGTGTTATTAGCAGTAGTTATTTTAGTGTCATTGAGTTTTTTATTTTAGTTTTAGTAATTTTTGTTGTCTTTTTTTTGTCATTTGTAGTAGTTTTTTGGGGTCTTTTTAAAATGTTTATACAGTTTTAATTTTTAGTTTGTTATTTTAGTACTTCGACTTAAACTAATCAATTTTTCCTTGGCAACTGGCTGAAATAAAAGTATGTTTTTATACTAATGTGTATACAGTTTTCATGCCACTGAATATATAATCATTTCATGCCACTGAATGTATAATCATAATGTAACAGCATAATAATACAAGAAGGCCTACACACCTCCAAATGACAGCAAACTTTAAATTTTTAAGAACATTTAGATCACGGAAATTAAGTATCAAAATTATGTACGAGAAGCTGCAAAAGACACAGGCGCAAGTGGAATGCACATAAAATGGTGACATTAATTTTTATGTAAATATAATGGCTGATATATTGCGTCACCAAAAATTATTGAGGTCATGTACATATATTGCGTGATAAGTCGATATATTGATTATTGCGACAGGCCTACCCTGGCTTGTGGTTAGCATGCATGCACTAATATATGGTGCACTAATGTCGCTACAAATTAAAGATGGCAAAAAGACCTCAATATCAATCCTGTCAGGGTCAGCCTTCCATTGAATTTCCTGTTCTTTCCCAGGTAACGTTTCGTACGAGGATCTACCACTGTAACATCAACAGTCAGGGTGTGATCTGTCTGGACATCCTGAAGGACAACTGGAGTCCTGCCCTCACCATCTCTAAGGTGCTGCTGTCCATCTGCTCTCTCCTCACAGACTGTAACCCAGGTAAGACGCAAACGCTCTTCTGATCACGCAACACCAAGCCACATGATTTAAGGCATCATTCATGTCTGTAGCACAAACGGTGCGGGACTTGCAGTTTTACAGTTGTACTATAAAATACTGTTGTTGTTATTATTATTAAACTTCATTATTATATTTTCCTTAAAGGTGCAATGTGTAATATTTACAACGATCTATTGACAGAAATTCAATATAATATACATAACTATGTTTTCAGATGTGTATAAAGACCTTACTTAATTAACCGTTATGTTTTTATTACCTTTGAGCAATTTCTAACTACATACACCGCGGGTCCCCTTACATGGAAGTCGCCACCATGTTTCTACAGTAGCCCTAAACGGACAAACTGCTCTACAGAGCGCGTTTCGTCACTTTGTTGTTCTTGCCAATAAAACACTGACACAATGATGAACAAGTACATTAACATTCGCAATAACATCGATTTATTGAATGATTAAGTAAATATAATTCCTTAATTTACCTTTGTAAAGAAATCTCATTGCTCTCTGCTGTCTTTACCGACAACATCTTTACCTGTGTAGGCCACCGTAGCTTCTCTAAAGGGAGGGGTGAGCGGGGGACTGAGCCGTTGGTTGCAATTCGCAACCTCACCGCTAGATGC